ATGTCATCTATGATTGGTGTAACGGAAAAAGAACGATGAAAATCCCTACACAGTTTTTTGTTGGACAGTGTTTTTCATTCATTTGTTTCTTCTCCCTGTTATATATTTCAACCTTTGTTCATATCTCGTTTCAGCTTTTATTATGTAATTTTGATTGAAAACTTATCCCTTTGTTACATAATTTTATTGCATGTTGCCGGACTATTGACAGTGAGGTCGTGTTTGACTAAGCTCAAGGTCGCGGCGTGATTAAGTGTGACTGCTAACCCTTTGACTGTCTGCTTGGGAGGATTTCTGGTATCCCTGCAGATAGATATTTTGATCCCGTTTGTTGGGAATATATTTGATGATTCTCAGGTATTAAATTCTTTGGTGTTGACTGTTTCTTTCATTTTTTAGCGCACTACTTTGCGTTAGAGAAACTTCTGACTGTATAGCACAGGCTGTACCGTTTGAGGTATTTTGTATTTTTGATATAATTTGTTCTATTTCTTAAATTAGAACCGTATAAATTGAGCACAGAATTTGTGTTTTGATATAACTTAATACGAGTGTCTCAAAAACGCTTGGCGTGCTATACGGAAGATCGTAGTCTGACCTATTCGAATACAATTTGGTTCGTCAGTCCTACGTTCAGACCAAATAGTGATAGTTCGGTTGTTACAGTTCTCAAACGAACAGTAATTACTGGTAACAAACAATTCAATGCCTGGCAAGCGCAACAAGGTCAGCGGAAACATGGTGTTGGGTCATGAAGAAATGCAGACAGAGGCGCCTCCTGATATACGGCAAGTCCCTTTTTGATTCATTTTCATGTCATGGCTCTAATACTAGTTTGATTAGTAGGCATAGCAAGATTAGCTCTAGCATCCCTCTAGCAGAGTTAAAAGAAAAGCAGTTGAGGGAAAGACAACTAGTAGAGATTTGAGATTTGAAAGATAGGCAGAGAGAGCAGCTGTTATGCATTCAGAGAGAGTTAGGGACGTTAAGACTAAAAGAAAACGCGTGTAGTAAAGACGATGGTCAACTGCTTTTATACTTGTTACATTATTGCAAAGGAAAAGCTCGAGAGGCCATAGAAGAATGCTTAATGCTTCCGCCATCATCGGGCTAGCGCAGAGCATGCAATATACTGAAACGGTTGTTTGGAAGAGCACATGAATTAAGCCGGGCTTTGCTAAACGACTTGACTGGAGGTCCCAATATAGAACACAACGACGGAGAAAGTCTATCTAGGTTAGCGATAAAGATGGAAAATTGCTCTATAGCCTTAGAACAAATGAATTATTCAGCGGATCTCAACTTGCTAGTAACTATAGAAAGTATAGTAAAGAAATTGCCCACGGCTTTACAGATGAAATGGGCTGAAACCGTCGGAAAGATGACAGCAAATGGTAGAGAGCCTACTTTTGCAGAGTTAACAGAATTTGTATCATCTAGAGCAGAAGTTTTACTCAGCAGATTCGGGCAGATTGCAACAGCTAGTAAACGGGGTGTAAGTAGGGTGGCCTGCTCCACACAAGTATTGTCGTTCAGTCAAATTGTTGGCAAGTCACCTTGTGTTATATGCAAAGAAAATCATAGGATTGATAAATGTTTCCAGTTCTCCACATGAGCAGTCAACGATAAGTGGACGAAAGCGAGAGAAAAGGGTTTGTATAACCTCCAGATTGCCCATGGTGATCTAGCTTCCATCGACTCATGAATTCAACTATTAAATTATTATAATATTCAGAAAATCGTTCTCTGCTTATAGTTATATGTTTGTGTTAAATTAACCTATTAAATAATCATTATCATATTTAATGATCTTCATTTGATTAAAAGAGAAGATTGTGATGGAGTTTTGTTCTCTGTGCTGGATAGTTTTGGTCGTAGAGCTTTCATCATTCTTCTGAACGACATCATCAGCATAAACTCTAGGTAGAAGTAAAGTGTTCGAATTTTGTGCTGATGATGTCATTCAGAAGAACAATGAAACATCGACAACTAAACTATCTAACTTAGAAAACAAAACTTCATGAAACTCATTCACCTAAACTACAAATCTTCTCCACCATCTTAGCGAAGATTGTGTTACTGATTAATTGGTGATTACTTGATAGTAAACTATCCTTTTTTTAAATGTCATCTATGATTGGTGTAACGGAAAAAGAACGATGAAAATCCCTACACAGTTTTTTGTTGGACAGTGTTTTTCATTCATTTGTTTCTTCTCCCTGTTATATATTTCAACCTTTGTTCATATCTCGTTTCAGCTTTTATTATGTAATTTTGATTGAAAACTTATCCCTTTGTTACATAATTTTATTGCATGTTGCCGGACTATTGACAGTGAGGTCGTGTTTGACTAAGCTCAAGGTCGCGGCGTGATTAAGTGTGACTGCTAACCCTTTGACTGTCTGCTTGGGAGGATTTCTGGTATCCCTGCAGATAGATATTTTGATCCCGTTTGTTGGGAATATATTTGATGATTCTCAGGTATTAAATTCTTTGGTGTTGACTGTTTCTTTCATTTTTTAGCGCACTACTTTGCGTTAGAGAAACTTCTGACTGTATAGCACAGGCTGTACCGTTTGAGGTATTTTGTATTTTTGATATAATTTGTTCTATTTCTTAAATTAGAACCGTATAAATTGAGCACAGAATTTGTGTTTTGATATAACTTAATACGAGTGTCTCAAAAACGCTTGGCGTGCTATACGGAAGATCGTAGTCTGACCTATTCGAATACAATTTGGTTCGTCAGTCCTACGTTCAGCCCGAATACTGGTAGTTCGGTCGTTATAATTTGGGCACATTGGTAAAATTTATTGATTTTCTTCATATTCAGAGCATATACACACCCGATCTACTCATCAAAATTTCCAAAATCAGTAATATTCCAGTAGAAACGATATGATTGTTAATTCCTAATAATGAAAAATCGATTACGTAAACCCATAGAACTTAATGATCATTCAATTGTAATGACGTATATTTGCAGAACAAATAAATGAAAATAATACGCACAATAATAATAGCTGAAGAAGTCTGAATTGAATGTTGATAGAATTGTATATTTGTAGATTCACAATTGATTGATCACTGGGTGGTGACCGATGTAATGCTTGTCTGGTCCTTGTTAGAGCAGATCAAATGCTATCGACCATGTTGCAATGTGGCCACCAGCCTAAGTGACTCGACACTTCGGGCACTATTGTGAGATCAGATGGTGGTTAGAGGTAGAACCAGTTAACTCAAGATTACAGGCATACCTCGCTGACGAGTGCCCAGTAGCACGATAGCCGGGTCCAGGGTTTTTAGATGCACACTGCTGAGGAGTCTCATACTAGGACGAAACGACCGTCGGGTGTTTTCAGGTTTATTGTGGTGGCTCATGAATTCAACTATTGGATTATATTCTATTAGAATATGTGACAACACTGCCTGTGGCCCCCTGGAGCTACTGCCATTTCCAAGCCTGGATAAAGGAGGAAGGTTGAGCATGACGTTAGCGACCATATGCCGTAGAAAGCTAACTCGCTAAGAAAACGCAAAGCAGTAAAAATAATTCAAACTATTTGAAATTTATCCTGGGAGTCAGAAGATCTTCATTTAGAAGAGTTATGACGTGTCATGGTTGAAGCCGAGTTCCTTTGGAAGCCACGAGGTTGATGTCGCTTCTGACAACCAGAGCAATCATATATTTACGTACATGAAATGCTCGTACAATATGGGAGACCGGGAAAGTCTTCCAAATTGCTGCAGAATATGTGAGTGAATTGGAATGATTGTATTTTGTTGAGATATGATTTTGCTTGTAATTAGCAAATTTAGGTATTATACACAGTAGAACATCAGATTCTATCTTAAAGGTATCAATAGAACCATTGTTATATATTTTGATAAGTACTTAACAAATCGCTTACATCTGTGAAGATTGTTTATTTTTGATTGAGATCATGAATGAATCAATTAAAGATCATCGTTGAAGACCTGGAAGCATTGAACAGCCGTTTCGTCCTAGTATGGGACTGCTTGACAATGCGTATTCACGATTTCGCACGTGAGTGTTTAGCCTCTTGACTACTGAGTTGACATCCGTCGATGTCTAACTTCAATCAATTCACGATATTGCGTGATTGTTCCCCGTCGTGTTCAGCAAATAACTGCCTCACACCAGATACGGTTGAACTCGACTGGTCACGGCTCTTCAATAGAACTGCATGAAATCCATCTTGAAACTAGTCATTAGTAAGCACATGATAATTATCAGTATCGAGTTAATTATTTACAACTGTACACTATGACTGAATTTAAAAACTTTAATCAGTACTAATAATATATGAAACGAAAGACAGCATTAGGAAAAAGATCCACTCAGTGTTCTGAATGGTAGTTTGGGTAACAGGTAAATAAGTTATGTAGGTTATAGATCTTTTGTATGTATAGTAACTGGATTAACAAATTAGGTACTAAATATAAGCTAAAATCATAACATGACATAATTCACTTCTATCTTTTGTGACTTTTGCCAGGGTAATTTATCATGTAATTTATTCACCGATCAGAACACAACTAGAAAAGAAGGCCCAGTTGTGAGTGGGTAGGAGAATACTGGTCGGCGGCCTTTGCTTTATTAATTACTGTTGGGAATACCGTATGATATTATTCAGCTGTAAAACGTCAACAAAATAAACATTCACAACGTTCTCATTACTGATTGCAATTATCACAGTATCACACAGACACAATACTACTCATTTACAAACAAAATGTAAAACACTTGTGAAACAAATCAATATTTATTGAGCATAAACAACTACGCGAATGTGGAAAACCATGTCTGATCTTTTATCAACAATAATGCATCAGATAGTAAGTAAACCAGCAAAGAATGGCGCATAAATACACGATGAAATTGTTCAAAATACCAAGGTGAATAATTGAATATGAAGTTTTTAAGTAAAAAACGAAATAAAAACAACTTCATCAGAATAATAAGATTTTTCCTAACGTCATTCATTAGTTTTCTTTTTCCAATAAAACCATCCCCCAATAGCAAAGCCGATACAAACAACAAAGAAAGAGACGATCAGAGGTATCACAAGATATAAATATTGAAATGATTTGTTCTTGTTTTTCTCTTCGTTTATCTGGTTTTTAATAGTCTGAAATAAAACGAAACAGTAACATTCATTATTAAATAGTAAATAGTTACCAAGTATTGATCAGTGTCTTGTGTGCTTTCCTTCAAGTTTTCTTCAACCTGAACTTCGGTGTTCCCTGAAGATGTTTCAATGTGTTTGTTCGCTGTTGGTGTGCTCAAAACACTAACATCCGGTCTCACCTGAATAAACAAAACAGTAGCATTCATCACTAAACATCAGATATTATTCAATTAATTTATTGATCAATATACACTATTGTCAGTAGAAGGGTCACTAAAGAATCCAACGACTATTTACACAATTTGCATTTGTGCAATCATTTAGAACGTGCACTATAGATTTGACAATCAGTGTGATAAGTGCACACTATCCTACAACTAACTGACTACTCATTTGTGTGATGAAATTTGTGTTCCAATGATCACATCTAATCACGATCCGAGTACAGATCAATCATTTTATAATTGACGGCTTTTTGAAGCAATCTTTACAGATTACATATGTTTCACCACAGAATTTATTACTAAATAGCAAATAGTTACCGAGTATTGATCAGTGTCTTCGGTGTTTTCCTTCAAATTTTCTTCACCCTTCTGAATAAACAAAACAGTAGCATTCATCACTAAACATCAGATATTATTCAATTAATTTATTGATCAATATACACTATTGTCAGTAGAAGGGTCACTAAAGAATCCAACGACTATTTACACAATTTGCATTTGTGCAATCATTTAGAACGTGCACTATAGATTTGACAATCAGTGTGATAAGTGCACACTATCCTGCAACTAACTGACTACTCATTTGTGTGATGAAATTTGTGTTCCAATGATCACATCTAATCACGATCCGAGTACAGATCAATCATTTTATAATTGACGGCTTTTTGAAGCAATCTTTACAGATTACATATGTTTCACCACAGAATTTATTACTAAATAGCAAATAGTTACCGAGTATTGATCAGTGTCTTCGGTGTTTTCCTTCAAATTTTCTTCACCCTTCTGAATAAACAAAACAGTAGCATTCATCACTAAACATCAGATATTATTCAATTAATTTATTGATCAATATACACTATTGTCAGTAGAAGGGTCACTAAAGAATCCAACGACTATTTACACAATTTGCATTTGTGCAATCATTTAGAACGTGCACTATAGATTTGACAATCAGTGTGATAAGTGCACACTATCCTGCAACTAACTGACTACTCATTTGTGTGATGAAATTTGTGTTCCAATGATCACATCTAATCACGATCCGAGTACAGATCAATCATTTTATAATTGACGGCTTTTTGAAGCAATTCATCCAAATAACATATTCCTTAGCAGATAATCGGAAATCCGTGTCTTCAACTTCAGTAATGAGAGTCTACAACTTCTTACTAATTGACAAAACATATTACACAAGTTCTCTACTCAAACTTATCTCAATGGTATTTTGCATCAATCCACATAGATTTACTGTTTCATATCGGATTCCTTAAGTAATCACACATTCAATGAGATGAAAAGTTATTACTATGTTCTCGAGCATTAGTCTAAAGCAACACTTCCATTCATTGATTACTGTTTCCATGGTAAGAAAGCTTCGTTCTCATATCTGATTAGATATCGTCAAAGTATACTAAGCATTAATTTAGTCGCTGAGAGAAGAATACGAGTCAGTTCATTTTCGTAGCACAAAAATGTCGTTCCGAGTAAATCCACTTACTCAGAATGTGGAATGTGGTGATATTAAAAACAACATTTGAAATTTTTCAAGTACTTACTTCAACGCCGCAATCATTCACTTTAAACTGATGAGTATTCTGATCATTACTTTCAATGCATGTGTTAGCTTTTGCACACCAAATACATATCATATTCGATGTTGATGCTGTTTGACATGCTTTACTTGAATTGTGTTTTGCACAAATTGCTGTGAAAAGAGTGAGGTGATTTCATTTCAAGTTATTGAACAAAAGAAAAGAGAATTACAATACATGTAATCGTAACTCAATGATATGACGATGATTTCGAGAATAAGTGACAATTCCATTCACTGGGAAATTTTCACCACAATTCGCAATGCAATGTTCAGTACACTTTTGATTTCAATCACATTTCATGTCAGCCTGTTAAAATTCAACGAAACTACTTTGAATGTCAAAGATGAACCATGGATTTCGACAGGCGAATTTGATGAACTTCAGTATCTGTTTGCATTGAGACATGTACACACGTTGCTGTCACTGGGCTCAGTTAAGCGTACTGAATTGAAGTATTTTTGATTACACAGCTTCTTTTCATGATAACAATAATTTGATTGGGACAAGTACAAAAAAGTCAGTTGTTCACATATCGACAATTCATTTTCAATTATGTTGATTCAGTCGAACAACAAAGGATGTGTGGCATTGTTTTTCCAATCATCAATAACAATTTTGTTGAAAAGATTTCAGTCGACCTACTATGGTGGAAGAGAGTGAAGTATGTGACCGCATTCTGATCTTCGTGTTGTCAGTTAATACATTACATTAGTTGGGTCAATGAAATGTCATCGATGATGAAAGTAATATTTCATTCGATGAATTTTGAAGGTGATCTGATCATTAGATCATGGAATGATTATCTTAGTTGTCAAAATTTTTTCAGTCGTCTACCTTATGGTTAACTGAATATGTTTTTGTGGTTCCTGAATGTACATATTCATGAGAAAAAACACATTTTCGTTCTGCGAAATCAATTTTGAAACTGGCTATGATGAATTGTGTGTCTGAAACGTGACTTGTTTAAAAACTCAATATTTTGGACATGTATGACAAAGAAAAGATTTCGGAAATCAGGCAATCGTTTCCAAGGTATTCGCAGTGGCACAGAATGTTTCAGCAATTTCAATGGCTTTAGAAAAATTCAATATCACGTGAATCGAAAGAGAAAAAAAAACGGACGCTTCTTCGTCTTAGCACAATCGACTAACTGACGCCTAATCATTTTGAAATTAATATCATCTCATCTTTTGTTTTATGTTCATATGCTTGAGTAATTGGAAGATTTTGCTGTTGGTTCGGAATGAGTCCTTAATCCCATTTGTATTTACCAGTAAATCATCGTGTATTTATTGATGTTAAATGAAACGTCATTTATGACAGATGCCTGAAATTCATATATTAGCCAAATAAACCTATGATGGATTGTAATTCTGAAACGTGAATTGAGTCCTTTAATCCTTTTTGAACTTAACAGTGAATCAATGTGTATTAATTGATGGTAGATGAAACGTCATTTGTGAAAGATGCCTCGAATTCATATATATATATATATATATATATATATATATATAAAGGTAAAAATGGGAATTTCAACTTTTTGAAACAAATGTGATTTATTGTAGTGTGGAAATAGGTAATGCTGAATAAATAAGGTCTAACATACTTCCGATGGCTTCAAGCTCCACCAACGTGCCACTTTTAATCCATTTCACAGGAATAGTTATTTTATGAAGTGTCTTATCTTGTGTGATAAATTGAAGAGAAAAATTAACTTAAAATGTTGATTACTAGTTTAAGTATAATAAGTTGTATGCATCATATACGGAGTGATCAAAATAAGAAACTGAAACATTTCTCATAATGAATAGAGTAGAGATCATCTAACATCATCACAAATTATGGTTTACATCGCTCTGTGTTTCGCAGGTGATCGATTCTCAACCAGTAAATTAATAACATAGTCAGTCCAGGATTTGTAAATATACGACTATTTCGTCATGAAATATTTTATATTTTGAAATACAAATAGGTAACATGCATCTCAGAGTTGATGATCGCTTTTAGACTAGATCCCGAAACCGTTGCATTCAAACGCATTTCCGTTATATACGTAGCTACACAGTCCAGATCTTCAATGGCGTCTGAAAAGAAATGAAGTTCACATTCATTTCCGTATCATATACTTATTCGTCTCGTTGATGATTGAGACTGCAATCGATTCCACTCCAGATCGCCATCATCTTCACTTACAATTCTTATAACTTAGTGCGAAATCGAGACAATCCTCACAAAATGCACATATATCAAAAAGAGACTGATCTATCGCAGTCTAAAACACCAATGTTTCCTACTTGTTTCACACTGAATTTTACCGAAAATATTTGACTGCAGCTCACTTTCCTCAATTTTCGTAGGAGGACCGCATGTGTGACTGTCGTATTGTGGGTGAGTGATTGAGTGAATAAATCAGTGGATATATTGTCTGATTAATATGTCATTCAATATGAATGTCTCGATCAGTCAATCAGTGACCATAAGCAAGACACGTCTCCAAACAGCCATCCACGCTTTGTCGAAGTAGATATTCATACACTTTGGTTATTTTACACGAGACATCTGGTTAAGTGAGCTTCATCATGCAGATTATTCATGATCTATGTCGCGGTACATCGAAATGATAACAAAACGAGTTTAAATGATTCGTACTTCCTTCACACTTGAATTCACCGAAGAAATCAGAATACAGATCTTTTTCCGTAAATGTCGTAGGAATCTGAAAGAAGAATATTTAAGCCCATGTTGAGGATCTATTAACCAAATAATTATTGAACTTATGTATCGTCAATTGAGTTATCTTATTCAAAGACACACAATCACACTGATATTCTCAGTTTTTTCAAAAGTATGTCCCATCTAGTCCACATAGGTATTGTGAATTATTTCGGTTGTCGATTTCTGTCCTGTTTAGAGAATTATCTCTTATCATCGTCAGTGGCTTTATTCGTTATCATATTTTTGGCACGGCATACGATTTTCAGCACAAAGTATTTAAACAAGTTTTCCCTTCGTATTTCTTCATATATCCTGACTATAACATATTCAGTGATCATCAGTTAAATGTGAGCAGTTCAGGAATGCACATCAGAACAATGATCATTTTTTCAATGCAACTCTATCCATATGGTTCTCGAGAATATACTGTTTCTTACAATTGGGCACTAGGATATCTACGTCTCTCTACTACGCTCCTAATTATTCTTTGTTATCAACATGTGCTTGAACAACGTGTGTCATTGCAAGATTAATAATAGTGTTAAATAGTCTGTCTGCACATTACAAAACAATACAAAATGTTAATCACTTTCTATCGTTTTCAATGTAACTTGCTATATTCGACGGTATTGATCAAAATGAAATAGTAGAATAATCGAAATCGCTTGAAACAAAATTATGTAACCATGCAATTGTGCAACTTACGTCCTCAAAATAGATAGATATCTTCCCACTCGGATATATCAGACCAGTTGTCTTGCCTGTAACATCTACAATTAGAAGACCATTGATAATTAGAATTCCATCGACAGTTATTAAGCAAGTTATTGTTAAGTGTAACACGGTGTATGCCTACTCACAAAATGATCAGATTCACTGGATATTTACCGTGTTATCCAAAACGCTTTCTTCATTTGAAGCTTTGATAATTGCATTCAGGTGAACGTCACGTGAATAAAATAGGCATGAATCCCTTTAAACAAATGTCAAGTGCATCGTTTCATCAAGTTCTGGTAGTCGGAGAGGTATTCACATGTACGAAATATTTTCTATAAAGACACCTGAAGTAATCAACTCCAAGTAAATACGATATGAGCTGTGAAGTGTTTGTTTACAAATGGAACTTGAAAATTTGTGGGTTGCAGAACATATGGTTATTTCAAATGATCAGCTCATTCTGACCACGGTATTTATTTATTGTGGATGAGAAACGAGTAGCTTAAAATGTATCGTCTTAGCAATTTCTTATTTTGAATGGATAATATTTATCAATGACTATGCGATGAATGAATGTGTAGGTGAGTGTGTTGTGCACAGGAATGGCTCTGTGACGAGCATTTAACACAATCCACCTATTTTGAAACACAAATTTCTCACCGAGTTTCATTTAAATCTGAAATCAAAAATGAATTTCTACATTCGTTATTCCATAAGAGAACTTTAATTGTGACTTGATTCACTCCTGATGATCAATTGATTACTCGTCAAACCTAGTCTCTCCCGGTTGTTGTCAACTGTTCAATGTAATCAAATGGTGATTGCATTTCACATGAAATTCTACCTTTTGTTTCACGGAATAGTAACAAAATACAGCGTTTTCAGTTTCTGAGACCAATAGAACCATTCAAACTATGAGTAATCATAATGAGTGGAAATGTGAGTGTTTACATTTTACATCTGATCAAACAGATTATTAATGCTGACTTACTTGTTTCTTTTTCATAAAACCATCTGACAGCGAATAAGTCTTCTAAATTAATCGAAATAGATGTTGTAATATCTGCCTTATGAATATATTTCTTTTTCAACAAATGTGCGTTTTGACATCAACTGCTTTTGCATACACCTTATTATCATAATCTCGAGAATAAAATGTACCGGTTTGGTTAAATGACAAAAATCTCTTATGAGGTTTCAAGCAATACTATCATTTAAACGCTATGATGAGCGTTTAAATTCAATCAACTGAGCGAGATAGTTCTCTCACGTGAAATTTATTCTAGGAGCTTTTGATGAGGAAAAGACTCACAATATCTATCCGAAAACAGTCATTCAAATTTATTTTGTGATTCATGATTTCAGATAACTGACCGAAATGAATATACGTAATCTTGATATCCTAGGTGTTCTTGTTCGATGAAATCATCTACTACTAGCAAACAGTTCGTGAGCATTCGTTGTTTATTTATTTGACAGAGTGTCTGGATACAAAGTTCATAATCATACGAATATGATTACAAAGATAAAGTTGAAAATTCGGTAATCAGCAGACAGTAACTCAGAGATATCAAACATTTATGAGTCAGGCAATGCCACAAACGTGTTGAAGGATTTCAAATATAATTGGATATTTCATGGGCATCGGTAATTCAAACTGGCTCCTCCTCGCTTTTTGTTGCACATGTGATTATTCTGGATTATTCAGTCTACCATGAAGTATTGTGTTGGTGCGATATATACTACATTATAGTTTCGATAGGCTGTAGAGTAGGTAATATATACTCTGTCAATAACATCACTTTGTTTATCACTTCCACTCATTTAATGTAGGTTTTTTTATTTTGACGTGAATCTCTGTCTTATTAAGCATTGGTACTTGACAGTAAGCAATGCGTTTTGTGAAAACATATTCTCGTGCGCAAATCACACAATCAATACAATCACTATGTACTGTTCAGCTCTCGTGTAATAAACAAACTAAATACTGAATCATTCATGCAAAATCAATGTGAAAAAAGGAAACAAAACAAACGATAACTGAATAATATAAGAACTCACCGCTATTCAAAACCTCAAAATTAGCAAACATTTCGTAGTAAGCTAAAATTGAAACGTATCCGAGGGCGGCTGTTTTGAATATATATATTTGACCTATGTGTATTTAATGAAAAAATTCAGCATGATTGACAATTTTCCATTAAATGAATAAAAGATTTTGAAATAAACTAGAGGTTTGATGCATTTCATAAAATGTATTTGGTTTTGCTGTCAGGTGTCACACCATTGACAATTTGAACAAGAGAAGATATTCAGAGAGGTTTTGCATGTTATATGAGCATTAAACTGAGTCTTTGAAGAAATTGAATAAACTTTGATTCATGGAATGAAATGTGATCAAGAAAACTCAGTGACGATTTTAGCTCAAAGAAAATAATAACTTACCAAAATAGTGAATATCAAGATAATCGACGTCACTATCGTAATATTTCAACGGGAATTTCGGTTTAACTATCTATAAAGATGCATATGCATAAGAAACTCTGCTACATGAAGTAGTCAACTCACGTGTTGACCATTTATTTCTTCAAAACTCCGATTCACAACTGGATTATTCTGATTAAGACTAATTCTCATTGAGTAATTATAATGATGAGACTGAGCATGGGTATTACAATCTGACTGATTACTTACATATATATATGTATCATTCTCAAAAATCACGTTTTTATATTTCAGCCGTTCAGGTTGCTGACATATGTCTTGACAGTTGGAGAATTCGTAAAGCAGGACAACAACCAAACAAAATGTAATCGAAAGTTCAAAAGAGAAAGTGTATCTAAAATTGTCAGATGAAGAAAACAACGTTATCTCATTGAATCAAATATCAATTCGTATGACACACTTATTTAATTCGTGTGTTCAGCTAACACTCACCTCATTTTCAAGTTCAAAGTAGTAAGTGAAATTCTAGTAGAACTTGTCAGGTTTATATAGAATTTCAAATGTCTTGTTGTTTCTATATGATTCGATGATTAAAAGTGACCATTAAAAAGATCACATTTGATAAAATCACATGTTCATTGTTAACCAATCATGGTGTAAAATAAACTCATCATTATTCAATATTCTTCTAACTATTGAGAACATGGCCTGACATTCCTGACATTTATTGATGCAACTTCCATTGACTCTGATTAACAGCAAATTAAACTAGCTGATTGGCTAACTAATATTCCAAATTGTGTGCTCATGTGTTTGCGAACAAACAGATTGTTGCCTATACTAATTTGTTAATTGGCTGTCAACGTTTCATTATTTGATGTGATTGGTTAGAATGTATGTGCCTCAAATTGTTTCGACTGGATGTCAAAATTTACACTTTCACACTTGAATTTTATTTCAAAACTAAATGATTCGGTAAGACGATTTCATCATCATCTAATATGAAATTGTAACCTCTTGACAAATCCCCAACTATTCCATTTATCCACCATATTATACCACTGACTGTTAATAGATGTTCTAACCACATTGATTAGAAAACTGTCCAATCGATCACGTAGAAGTGGAACTAGGTGTATTCAGTTATGTAGATTGAAGTTTCCATCGATTGTAATAAAAGAAACACAATTCATTTCATTGAAAGTGAACTGTTTGAAAATTGAGAACAATTTCTTGAATCAAACACAGATTTATAGGTACAATAGTGATTATCTTAACTGAAAACTGATAAGGTTGGTAGTACACAAGGAGATAACTGATTTCCATCTTCATATTTCATTGGATTGTTTCCACATACCATTAAAGCATGTATTAATTGTCGTTGATGTTAAAACATACGAGTAAATTACTGTGATAATATTATGCCCAAGGCATATTGCGTGCCTAATAAATCTCACATGAGTATAATCGTACAGCTTCCTAAATCCATATCTCAGGAAGAAACGTTTCTTCACTGAAACGTCTTCGTTCGTTTCAATGCTGTGTGGTGATATTCAGAGAGACAATGTGCGTAATTTCAGTTGGCGATTAAACTCGTTGGCAATTTTTTTATCCATTTTGGTCAAATGGGCACTCACGTTCAACATCTTTACGTTATTCAACACCATAATTCGTCTGACATTTACAAATGACGATTGGAGTGATTAAAAAATAACATTGTTCGACAGAAACATGAAATACTCGATAAACAGTGTTTAACAAACCTCAAACCAAGATTTACTTGTCTCGCACTCTGAAACCTGATTGGAATGACAACTGCTACTTGAGGGAACATCAAGGATTATGTGTTTGAATATTACATATATTCACCAAATCTTTCAGATTGCTTCTAAACTAACATGCGCTTTAATATACGGAAGATTAATTTAAAGTTATGCTTATAAAAATAGTGTAAATCATCTGATAGCGTGATCTGCAAATATATGTATGTTGACGTAAATTGTTTACAGAAATTCCATTGAATATACTTTCTTGTTGCCCATCACCACATTCCATCTACTCAATGAAAGTATGTGGTATTATGTATAGTTTAGTGAGCCATATATCAATGTTAGTTAGAATAATCAATGTCGCACTCTAATAATGTGCTTATCTGACTGACAGTCGCACACGCACACAGAGTATCGATGGATCTATCTCTCGTCTTACCAGGTCTGCTTCTTTTTGTAAGAACGACATTTAGTCCATCACCACATTCCATCTAATCAATGAAAGTATGTGGTATTATGTATAGTTTAGTGAGCCATGTATGAATGTTAGTTAGAATGATCAATGTCGCACTCTAATAATGTGCTTATCTGACTGACAGTCGCACACGCACACAGAATATCGATGGATCTATCTCTCGTCTTACCAGGTCTGCTTCTTTTTGTAAGAACGACATTTAGTCCATCACCACATTCCATCTAATCAATGAAAGTATGTGGTATTATGTATAGTTTAGTGAGCCATATATCAATGTTAGTTAGAATAATCAATGTCGCACTCTAATAATGTGCTTATCTGACTGACAGTCGCACACGCACACAGAGTATCGATGGATCTATCTCTCGTCTTACCAGGTCTGCTTCTTTTTGTAAGAACGACATTTAGTCCATCACCACATTCCATCTAATCAATGAAAGTATGTGGTATTATGTATAGTTTAGTGAGCCATATATCAATGTTAGTTAGAATAATCAATGTCGCACTCTAATAATGTGCTTATCTGACTGACAGTCGCACACGCACACAGAGTATCGATGGATCTATCTCTCGTCTTACCAGGTCTGCTTCTTTTTGTAAGAACCACATTTAGTCCATCACCACATTCCATCTAATCAATGAAAGTATGTGGTATTATGTATAGTTTAGTGAGCCATATATCAATGTTAGTTAGAATAATCAATGTCGCACTCTAATAATGTGCTTATCTGACTGACAGTCGCACACGCACACAGAGTATCGATGGATCTATCTCTCGTCTTACCAGGTCTGCTTCTTTTTGTAAGAACCACATTTAGTCCATCACCACATTCCATCTAATCAATGAAAGTATGTGGTATTATGTATAGTTTAGTGAGCCATATATCAATGTTAGTTAGAATAATCAATGTCGCACTCTAATAATGTGCTTATCTGACTGACAGTCGCACACGCACACAGAGTATCGATGGATCTATCTCTCGTCTTACCAGGTCTGCTTCTTTTTGTAAGAACCACATTTAGTCCATCACCACATTCCATCTAATCAATGAAAGTATGTGGTATTATGTATAGTTTAGTGAGCCATATATGAATGTTAGTTAGAATAATCAATGTCGCACTCTAATAATGTGCTTATCTGACTGACAGTCGCACACGCACACAGAATATCGATGGATCTATCTCTCGTCTTACCAGGTCTGCTTCTTTTTGTAAGAACGACATTTAGTCCATCACCACATTCCATCTAATCAATGAAAGTATGTGGTATTATGTATAGTTTAGTGAGCCATATATCAATGTTAGTTAGAATAATCAATGTCGCACTCTAATAATGTGCTTATCTGACTGACAGTCGCACACGCACACAGAGTATCGATGGATCTATCTCTCGTCTTACCAGGTCTGCTTCTTTTTGTAAGAACCACATTTAGTCCATCACCACATTCCATCTAATCAATGAAAGTATGTGGTATTATGTATAGTTTAGTGAGCCATATATGAATGTTAGTTAGAATAATCAATGTCGCACTCTAATAATGTGCTTATCTGACTGACAGTCGCACACGCACACAGAGTATCGATGGATCTATCTCTCGTCTTACCAGGTCTGCTTCTTTTTGTAAGAACGACATTTAGTCCATCACCACATTCCATCTAATCAATGAAAGTATGTGGTATTATGTATAGTTTAGTGAGCCATATATCAATGTTAGTTAGAATAATCAATGTCGCACTCTAATAATGTGCTTATCTGACTGACAGTCGCACACGCACACAGAGTATCGATGGATCTATCTCTCGTCTTACCAGGTCTGCTTCTTTTTGTAAGAACGACATTTAGTCATCACCACATTCCATCTAATCAATGAAAGTATGTGGTATTATGTATAGTTTAGTGAGCCATATATCAATGTTAGTTAGAATAATCAATGTCACACTCTAATAATGTGCTTATCTGACTGACAGTCGCACACGCAACACAGAGTATCGATGGATCTATCTCTCGTCTTACCAGGTCTGCTTCTTTTTGTAAGAACGACATTTAGTCCATCACCACATTCCATCTAATCAATGAAAGTAATGGTATTATGTATAGTTTAGTGAGCCATATATCAATGTTAGTTAGAATAATCGATGTCGCACTCTAATAATGTGCTTATCTGACTGACAGTCGCACACGCACACAGAGTATCGATGGATCTTCTCTCGTCTTACCAGGTCTGCTTCTTTTTGTAAGAACGACATTTAGTCCATCACCACATTCCATCTAATCAATGAAAGTATGTGGTATTATGTATAGTTTAGTGAGCCATATATCAATGTTAGTTAGAATAATCGAATGTCGCACTGTAATAATGTGCTTATCTGACTGACAGTCGCACACGCACACAGAGTATCGATGGATCTACTCGTTTGAATATCTGGATTTCCTGTTCCTGAAATCAACATATCTCAACAAGTTCACTCTCTTTTGTTTATTTTCACACATCCTTACGTCTATCAATCGCATAACCCACTTAAGTGCGTTCATGAAACCTTTACGATTTTTCGTCGCACAACTTACAAAAAGTGCAATCAAAGAAATTGTGATGGATGTCAATATGCATTGAAAAAATGATCATTGTTCTGATGTGCATTCCTGAACTGCTCACATTTAACTGATGATCACTGAATATGTTATAGTCAGGATATATGAAAAAATACGGAAGGAAAACTTGTTTAAATACTTTGTGCTGAGAATCTTATGCCGTGCCAAAAATATGATAGCGAATAAAGCCACTGACGATGATAAGAGATAATTCTCTAAACAGGACAGAAATCGACAACCGAAGTAATTCAAAATACCTATGTGGACTAGATGGGACATACTTTTGAAGAAACTGAGAATATCAGTGTGATTGTGTGTCTTTGAATAAGATAACTCAATTGACGATACATAAGTTTAA